GCTTATCGCAGGAGCCTGCGGGCCGCCGCGGGCGACAGTAGTTGTCCGCGGCCCTTTAGGGCCGCGGGGAAGTGGTGGAGCCCGCGGCGGCCCGCAGGCTCCTGCGATAAGCTTTGAATGCGAATCCGGAAGCCTCCGATGACCCGGGATAGCAGTGGGATTCTAATTAAAAAAAGTGGGACTCTAATTAAAAAGAAATGGTGGTGGCAACCGCGCTTTCGCCGCGCGGCTGGTTAGGCTTTCGCGCTGGTTAGATTTTCGCGCACGCATTTGGTTACCAATATCGCCCTCCGGGCGCGACATTCATACGATCATGTCATCTCTAGTACTCGATAGCATCTACTAAAAAAGTGTTCAAACTGTAAGTTCGCATCACAACACTTTTTTAACGAACAGCAACCCAGCAGCATCAAATGGGAGCTCCAGGCAGACGAGCGGGTTCCCGTAGACGGTCCCGGTCGAGATCCTCGAGTCGGCGACGGGACAATTATCAGGGACGCAGCAGGATGAAGTCGCATGAAGAAAATGACCGTCCTCGCGGAGACCACCATCGTCGACCACAGGAAAAGCAGGCAGCACGCCGGGTGGAAAAAAACAATACCACTCGGACGTCAAAGTCGCGAGAGCGTGGGTCTAAGCGGAGCAGAAGCCGATCGAGAGATGAGGATAAGTCGCGCGGAGTTGCTGGTGCTCGTGGTGGCAAAAAAACGTCTTCGTCTGCGAGTCGTGACGAGAACAAGAAAAGTCCGGCTAGAAAAGGCACGGACGCTGGTGGAGGAGGACAACAAGGGCCACCTCGCGAGTACTTACAGATACGAAATTTTGATGTTGTTCCACGTTGATTGTTTGCACACTGCACCTTTACGGAAGGTTTTTAGCGTCGTTGTGTGGGTAAGATGGACAGGTTTCTATTTGTGACGTCGAGGACTTCTAGGGGTTGTACTAATCAGGGATCCTGACTGCTGATGTTGATTTCCATTTCGCATTAAATTACCATGTTCAACAGTAGAGTAACTAGCTGAATAAAGTACCAATACTTGTATACACCAAAACAGCACGACTTCGAGCAAGCCTCGAGAAGGAGGCGACAAAGCCGATGACAAGAAGGGGGACCACCGCGCCCCGACAGGGGAGCGTCGCGTGAAGAAAGCAGCGGGCGGCCGCGAAGATGGTGGAGACCACGGGGAGGAGGTGAAGGATAAAGATAAGGGGAAAGAAAAGAAAGTTAAAAATGCTTCGGACCACCACGACGACTCCTCCGCGTCCGGTTCCGAAAACAAGGCCAAGGGCAAAAAAAACGAGAAAAACAAACTACAGCTGCAAGTCGAAAACAAGAAGAAAAAGAGATCATCAAGCAGTGCCTCGTCGTCGGAAGGAAAGAAGGAAATGAATCAAGACAGAGACGACGGTCAGTTCTTGCACTCGAAAAATAAAGTAGTAGGAAACATCAAAAAAACCAAATGCGGCTCAGCTTCGCCATCAGCTGCTTCCTCTTCTCACAGCGTTTCCCCGATTTCCACCCCCGAGCCGTCTTCCTCCTCGGAAGCAGAGTCGGAGCAGGGAAATAAAGACAAAGAGAGAATAAACAAGAAGGAAGAACGCACAAATAAAACAACAGCACGGCGACCGGACCGGGATGTGGAAATCGAGCGGCCGCGGGACAAAACGACCAAGAGGCATGACAGTAACCGAGAAGGCGCAGCTAGAGAGCGAAGAGGTACTAGGGCGGACAACAATTCTCTCCGGCGAAACACCGACAGAAATATCACCGCGAGGGCCAGAGCCGCTTCGAACGGCAGGGGGCGAAGATCGCGGTCGAGACCACGACGCTCTCGAGCAAGACAGGAGAGATCCAGAAGGCGCGGCGGAACTGCTTCTCCAGCGCGAGAACGGGATGATGAAAATCATAGAGGTAATTATATGCGAAACGATAACGAGGGAAAAAATACTAGGCCCAAAGTGCAACTCCGTGCGAGGCAGCAGGGCTCTGGAGCAAGAAAAAACGGTAAAAGAAGAAGTCCCAAGAGTAGGAGCCGCGAGCGTCGGGGAGCTGCGAACACGGCGGTCGGGAAAATGAGAAACCGCGGGAATAAGGGAAATGGTAAAACTAACAGCGGCTCTGGTCCACTTCGTCGTGGAAATCTAAAAGCAGCCGAGTCTGGAGGTGTTTCTTCTTCTAGTAGCGATGAATCGTCGGCGTCCATTCCGTCTGCGGCGAGTGACAATTTTCTCAGTTCACCGGATCGCAGGAAAAAGCAGGATGGGGGAAGGGAAAAGATAAAATTGAATACAAAAGATCAAGATGGAAGAAGAAAATCAGCTTCACAAAATGAGCCAGTTCTAGTTCCTGCTGCAACTACTACGAGTCGTTCCAAAAATAAAGTGGAAGTGGTTCTTTCCCCCGCGCGAGGCCCGTCGCGGGTTACTAAGAAACTGGTGCAGAAGGAAAACCATGGGAGGGAGAAGAGCGAATCACAATCTTCAAGAGCGAATTCGTCCTCAGAAGAGGAAGAAGGCCAGGACAAGGTAGAACAGCCGGAAGTCGCAAGCAAAAAGGTGGATAAAATGGCGGTTGAAGAACAACGAAAGGAACTGCGCCGTACTAAAGATGATAGAAAACAAAAAGCGGAAAATGGTACTACTAAGCACCACGAACAGGCTAATATTAAAAAGGAATCCACGAGCAGGACCTCGCAGCGAGCTTCCAGCGAGGAGAAAGATAAAAGTGGTGATAAGGACCGTCGCAACTCGAAGAAAAAAGAGACCACGAGGCGGACCCGCGCTCGTAGTGCAATTGGTCCCCAGGAGGTGGACGGGGAAACAAAGGACGACGGCAAGGAGGTCGCAAACAAGGACCGTCGTAGAGATAATCGAAAAAATCGGACGCCCCCCCGTGCTGGACCCCCCGGCGGGACGAAAAACAAAGGTTCTCCTTCCGACAAAAGATCGAGGCGGCAAAGACGCCGACACGACGACAGCTCTGCTTCTTCATCCGAGGAGCAGAGCCAGGACAACAACATTGCGGACAAAAAGAGCCAAGCGCTGAAGAACACGGACTTGATTTTGGATATGAATTGCAAAAATGTCTGGGTCTGGAAGGTTGGAACTTGTGATGCTAACTTTGGACTCTAGAAAAATCTGTATTGCGCGACCAGCAAGAGGAGTCTACTTTGTGCTACGCGGGGAGGGCATTTGTCATGTTGCGGGGTAGGCATCAAGAGCCCTGGGTCATGCAAAATATGCATGACAAACCCGGCAACATTCCAGACCCAGACACTTTTGCATTTGATATTGGAGCAAGCGGCGCTGAAACTCGAGCAGGAGGAGAAAAACAGCAAGTTGCGAAGGCGGCAAGAGTATCAAATGCAAAAATGTCTGGGTCTGGAAGATTGCTAGGTTTGTCATGCAGGTTTTCCATGACCCGCGCGGTCTGGCATGCACGGCCCAGCATGACAGATTCTGCGAGATCTCTGTCATGCCTTTCCTGCATAAGAAATTGCCTCTAAACTTGTTCAAAAGTCGTGGACAAGTTTTGGTAATCATGCAAAACAAATTTTTTAGCGATCCAGATGTAGCATGACACCAGACCCAGACATATTTGCAATGCATAAAGAGAAGTGGGTAAGTCAGGAGGTGGAGAAGCGGAAAAAAAAGCAGATCAAGAAGGAGATTTTGCAGACGCTGCTGACGAAGAAGGAGAGTTTGCAGGAGGAGCTGAAAGCGAAAGAAAAAGAGTTGAAGGAAGAATTGGAAAAGGACATGAAGAAAGAATTGGAGAAGAACCGCAAGCGGTTCTACGACGAGATCGAAGAGGAAAAGCAGCGGAAAAAGTATAACCTGCTCAAGTTTTGCAATCTCACACGTTGCAATAGGATCCGGAATTTGTGTTGCAAAATGCGCAACATCTGGCCTACTCCCACAGGATTGCGCATGACAAGTTTCGGAGCCCCAAACCGCAGGAGAATCTAGCGAAATTTGTATTGCAGAAAGTGGAATGCTCTGCGATTCTGTCATGCTCATCATGCAAGACAAAATCCAGATTCTACTGCAACGTTTGAGATTGTAACACCTGGGCGGGTTATAAAAAGACGAAGCTGGAGGAGGAAATCCGGCAAAAGCAGCTGCAACACCAGGAGGAGGTCGAGCGGCTGAAGGAGGAAGGTATCAAGTGTAAAAATGTCTGGGTCTGGAAGATTGCCATGCTTGTCATGCACATTTTGCATGACTCCTGATGTCTGTGATGCATGCCCTAGCGTCACAGATTTTGTGAGGGCTTGCTGATGCCTATACCGCATGACAAATGCTCTTTCCGTGTAGCAAAACTTGGACTCTCTTTGCTGCTCATGCAATACAGATTTTTTTAGAATCCAAAATCAGCATGACAAGTTGGATTCTTCCAGACCCAGACATTTTTGCATTTGGTAGAAGGGCGGAGAGAACAAGAGAAACGCGCGAAGGAGAAGGAACTGCGGCGGAAGCGCAAGGAGATGAAACTGCTGGGAAAGAAAATAGATCGGGATGGAGAAGATAAAGTTGATGATGACAACAGTGGGAGACACAACAAAAACAACAACAGACATGCGGATGTTGTTGCTGAGCCGGGTGAAGATCATGCTCGAGCCGGTCGCAGTCCGAAACCGAGCGGAAATAACGAACGAAAATCTTCCGAGCAGGAGCAGCGCTCTCGTCGCACCAGAGTGGAAGAACTCGAGTCGAACGACCCGGAAATCAAGATTACCTTGCCAGCGGCGCCGCCGGTGCTGTCGCCATCCTCTCGAGACCGCAACAGGAAATTACACGACGAAAACGGAAAGCTGTTGCTACAGGACGACGACGATGACAACGAGCGGAACAAAAATTCTGGTAATACAACTGCAGGCGGTACTAGCACCTCCTCCGCGGTTCCCGCGTTTTCGCTCTCTTTCAAAAACAAGAAGAAGGGACTGGGTTTTGGGGCCGCTGCCGCGCTGCAGAACAAAAATTCCGGCAGCTCGGGGGCGTATCAAATGTAAAAATGTCTGGGTCTGGAAGGTTGGAACTTGTAATGCTAGCTTTCCGCACCTAGAAAATCTGTATTGCATAACCAACAAAAGTCGCAGCCTCTTTTGTCATGCAAAAACGCAGTTTCTCATGCGGATTGCCTATGAGAAAGCGTTTTGGGAAGTTGTCATGCCGGACTGCATTCGAAAGTGTTTTCATCATGCACATTTCAGCACCACAGGTTTCCAGACCCAGACATTTTTGCATTTCATAGGGCGAGTGCAAATGCGATTCCGGGCATGGTGACCGCGAAAAGTGCGACGTTCTCCTATTACAATGAAAAATGCCCCCACGACCCCCGAACTTGGGAGCATTTGTATTGCAAACCTTTCCAAAGGAAACAGTCGCCCTCTTGCATCTATCAGCATCACAGGTTATTTCCAATCGTGAATAGCAAAAATTTGTATTGTAAATGATCCAATCTTGTATTGCATTGTATTGCAAAAGAGTGGCGCTTGTCATGCAAGCGATGCGATACACACCTCGACTCTGCATCAGAAAGATTCGTACTTCTTTCATGCATGACAAGAAGTTTTCATTTGGAAACTTCGCATCACAAATTTTTGCGACTTTGGGGGTGGGGGCATTTTTCACTGCAATATCTTCAACCCGTTTGCGGCTCTGAGTGCGCAAGCGCCGAAGGACCAAGCGCTCGGGCGGTATCAGCTGTAAGAATGTCTGGGTCTGGAAGAATCCAACTTGTCATGGTGATTTTGGATTCTAGAAAAATCTGTATTGCATGAGCAGCAAAGAGAGTCCAAGTTTTGCTACACGGAAAGAGCATTTGTCATGCAGTATAGGCATCAGGAAGCCCTCACAAAATCTGTGATGCTAGGGCATGCATCACAGACATCAGGAGTCATGCAAACTGTGCATGACAAACCTGGCAATCTTGCAGACCCAGACATTTTTACATTTGATAGGCGGAGATGAGGATCAAAATGAAGCGACAAACGACTACTTTTTGCTGTCTTTCTGTTTGTTTAATTACAAGCTCATCATGCTTCTGTCTCCGCGGGACCCATCAGGACTGTCACGACACACGACCACTTTGATTTTGATTACATCGCACTCGATGTGTTGTAGTTTTGAAGGCGGCCACCGAATACTGAGTCACGCAGCTCCTATTCCGAATACTAGCAATGTTGTTCATGGTTATCTTGAATGTAGTTTTCTCAGCGTGCACGGAAATCGGTCGCTGTTTTTCCGTCGTATTTTGAAAATCATAAGTCGTTCCCCTCTTCTAAAGTGAGAGGAATTCGTCCACCACCGTCGTGCAGTTTTGTTTTTCGTTGCTTCTGTCCTCGTGGGTGTAGTGCCAAAACCCTTCCGGCTTCGTAATCGTTCGCAATCGTTGATCTTGTCGTCGTGCTTAAAGAACCTCCGGGTTTCCTCTGTCCTAACGCATGTTGGTCAATAGTGCCGCTAGTTTTGCATTTGCACCTTGCCGCCCGCGGCAGTGGCGTCGTACTCGACAAAGTTTTCCAGCAGCATCATATAGTAACTACTCTGCTTCTGTTTCATCCCTTGCTGTGTCAGTGCACCTCCCAACAGTGGCATCGTATATCCTCTGTGCACTTCTTTTGTTTCATCAACAACCTCGTTGCTTGCTTAATTACACGATTAGAAGTTTTATCGAGCATACAAACCTCCAAACCGTCCGTGAGAAGAAAAGAATAGCCACTTCATCAAAGACAAGAACCATACAGATGGGCCACTTTCTCACAACAACGCGTTCTCTTCTGCTCTTTTCCCTCTGCAGCGCAGGGCTATTTTGCAGAGGCGCTCTCGCACTCTCGCTGGGCAACAAGAAGGATCCCGTTCCGGGCCGAAAGAAAGACAGCAGCAGTCGCGGAACAGGAGTGGCGTTCCAGAAGATATTACCAGGCAAAAAGCAGAAGTTATTTCGGAAAAACAGTGATGTTGATTCGGATGCCGTTACCGGTTCCGCCCCAGAAAGTCGTTCTCTTCTGGAAGAGAAGGAGCACTGCAGCGGGGGTGGGGAGAGTTCTCCAGATCCTACTCCCAAGCCCGCTCCGTCCGCGGGCGCACAAGGCGGCGCTGCGCTGGAAAGTCAGGCGGTGAACAAGGGAGACGCAGACGGGAAGAACGGTGCCGCGGCGCCGACTACAGCGGCGCCGTTGTCCGGACCGGGGGCAGTCCCGGTGCCGCCGGAGGAGTGAGCAAGGGTTTATTGAGGATGCTTATCTATAGTCTAGCACTTGCATAATAAGTCTGAACCGTCCTGCTCATACTCGAAAAAGATGTATAAACAGAATAGGTAATTTTATGTACCACTTCTACTACCAGCACCTCCATCTCGTAAGTTGTGTGTTTGGTCGCGATAGTAACAGGAAAGAATTTAGATACCCCGGATGAAGAACTGCACAAACCCCATTTTTCACCTCGTGTCACTTGACTAGTGCTTTGACTGGTCTGAGGTTTCATCTTTTTCCTGCTTGTTTTTGCTATGTCTAGTAATTGAATGCTTTTGTGGAAGTGATTGTGATGTACAACTCAACAGGAACAAGCTCAAGAAGTGTGACACGCTAGTAACGGGCCAGCTGTATTTTGAAGGTACATCTCCATCGCCGGTAGAAAATCGGATTTTTATGATTGTAGTAGATTTCGCACTCAACAGCCACAGGATTACCCTTTTCCCACCATTCGAAAAATTTGCTGAGGAAGGTCGCGCGTCAAGTCGTTGTGGGCGCGAGCGGAGCGGGGCTTGACTGTGTTCCGTGTTCCTCTAGTGTAACCCTGTCGAAGAGCAGCCATCACGAGAAAGCCCTGCTTTCGTGCACCCCTCCAGCATCGTCGAAGAGGCAGGTTTTGGACATTTGGCTTCTTGTTGTTTCAACTAGTACATGCTTCTCGCCAGAGACGCAGGTTCTGGTAGCAGGTCCCCGTAGCATAGTATTCATTTCCCGGAGCTTTTCCATCTTTCCAAGCGTACTTGTTTCGGCTTATCCAGCATGTGCATTTTCGTTACATCGATCAGCATTTTCTCCAGCTTCCAAGCAAAAAATACCAAAAAATATCTTACAAAGTTACACCCTTTTTTTGATTTATTTTACCGCCCAGGAAACATGTTCTAAAGTCCATCAGGCACCCGCACCACTCGTAGATCTGCATGGACGAAAGACCTTTGGGCGTACGGTAAAACTTTTAGGCGACGAGCAAGCGCGTTGCTCTTCCAACTTCCCACTCAAGTTTTACTTTTTTCGTGAAAAATCCGCAAAAAAACAAAAATATTACACATCCAAAAAAATATAAACAAAAAACGAGCTTGCTGCTACATGTCTAATTTGAACCTTGACATCGTTCGTGATCCGCGTTCGATTATTAAAAGGAGACGATCGTCGTTTGCAGGAGCGGCCTACCTGTGGCTGCATTCACCTGTAGCGCTAGCTGTATCTCCACTGTAGGAAACCAATAGCGTGCTTCGGATGGATACATGGGTACGGAAGTCACCTCTTAACTCGCTTCGCAAAGTAGATTATGGTGAAGATAGCATTTTTCAGTGCAAACCACGAGCAAGATGATTCTAAGACTGCACCGGGTTGAAAACCACGAAAAAATAGCCTACCTTTCAGAGGAATTACATTTATCAAAGCATTAATATCAGCCATCTACCTAATCGAGGCAGTGCTTTAAAAAGATTTGCTTCATCACCTCCTCTGGCAGACCCCTGCCGGGGCCAGACCGAGGGAAGCTGCCAATAAACTTGCGACCTCGAAGGGGTGAATCTGATTTGGAGTGTACAATATTTTTTTGGGATATCACAAGGAAACAAAAACAAAAACAGTCTTGGGGCTTGCCGCCTCGTCCTCCTTATTGGAGGCAGATGCAGTCGCGCCAGCGGTGCATTCGCAAATTGCTTGTTCTCATGAAGTTCTTCTATTAGACAGACACGGACGAGCAGATGCGTCCTGCTTCCAGAATCTTTGTTGAGATGGTGCTTCTGAAGTCTATTCCCCGATCGAGTAGCCGGGCGAGCGAGAGATGTCGTGGCAATGTGGTTCCAGTGAAATACAACAAAGATAATTCCGAGAGTGAAAAAATCAAAATGTTTGAAACTGATAGATTTCCTGACCCAATTCAGCTATTTTCTTCTGCCGTTTGTAATTTTTCTCGCAGTTCTTGCCTCTTGATTGTGCGTATTCGCCTTCCCGTACTCTCGTCCCCCACAATGATTTCTGTATTGCAGGAGCTGACGAGCAAATAATTGAGTGACGGTTATCTCTGGTAGTGAAGTAGGATGAAGGTGGACCTGTTGCCGCTGGACGAGAAGGTGTCGATTGTTTCATGATTTGATTATACAAAGTGAAAGTACTGACTTAAAGTAGAAATAACCGCCCACCTCTTGCGTGAGCTGCACTAAAGGTACAAATTTGTTTTCCAAGATGAAGATGTTATCGCGGGCAGTCAATAGCTGCCACTGTGGCACTTCTACCTGCCTGGTCGCGAGGCAAGGCTGCAGCTCCCCCTCTTCGGGGGTCATATCAAATGTAAAAATGTCTGGGTCTGGAAGATTCCGAGATTTGTCATGCAGTTTTTCGAAGCTCCACCAAGTCTGGAATGCAAGGCCTAGCATCACAGGCTCTGCAGCCCCTTGGTGATGCCCATTATGCATGGGAAATGCCCTCTCAGCATGGCGAGAAATGGGGACCTTTTGCAAGTCATGCAACACAGATTTTTGTATGATCCGCAACACGCATCACAAGTTGCATTCTTCCAGACCCAGACATTTTTACAGTTGATAGGTCACTACTGGCGCCAATTCCTGGACGGGTCTAAGTGCCGCAGAACGCCACCTTCCCCGACAAGAACACCAGTTGCGGCGCTATTCAACGCCAGCTTCCTCCTCGTCCTCCTCCTCGTCACCACCGCAAAAGATTTTCATCAATGACTATCAAATGCAAAAGCGTCTGAGTCTGGAAGGTTGGAACTTGTGATGCTAACTTTGGACTCTAGAAAAATCTGTATTGCATGACCAGCAAGAGGAGTCTGGTTTGTGCTACGCGGGGAGGGCATTTGTCATGCGGAGTAGGCGTCAGGAACCCTCTAAAAATCTGCGACGCTAGGTCGTGCATTACAGACATCCTGGGTCAAGCAAAATATGCATGACAAACCTGGAAACATTCCAGACCCAGACATTTTTGCATTTGATAATGACGTCCCGTACCCGATTCCCTACAAGGATTGCACGGTGAGCCAGGTTATCAAATGTAAAAGTGTCTGGGTCTGGAAGAATGCAACTTGTGATGCTGCATTTAGATTCCAAAAAAATCTGTATTGCATGAGTACCAAAGGGAATGCAATTTTTGCTACGCTGAGCAGGCATTTGTCATGCGGAATAGGCATCAAGAAGCCCTCAAGAAATCTGTATTGCTAGGGTATGCATCACAGACGTCATGGCTCATGCAAAACGTGCATGACAAGTGTCAGAATCTTCCAGACCCAGACATTTTTACATTTGATACAGGTTTTCGAAAAGTTCAACGTGCCCATCCACCTGGACTGCCGGCAGGGCAAATGCAGGACCTGCGAAATGGAGGCGGTTATCAAATGCAAATATGTCTGGGTCTGGACGGTTGAATCTGTATTGCATGTTTCGCATTCCTAAAAAATCTGTCTTGCATAAGCAGCAAATAAAGCACCGCACTTTCGTCATGCAAAAGCGCAGTTTGTACTGCGTTCTGCGCGGCATGAGAAAGCGTTTGACTTATTTGTCATGCTGCGCTGCACTTACAGGCACAGTCAATCATGACCTTTCAGCATTACAAGTTTCCAGACCCAGACACTTTTGCAATCCATAGCGGTCCTTCGGGGTTCGAATGCTAGCGGACGGGAGAAAGATATCCAAGAAAAAAACATTGTAGGTGTAACTTTTTTGGAGGAACAGCATTACAAATTTGTCTGGCATGACAGCAAAAACCTGTCATGCGCAGATAGTACGTGAAAACGCCTTTTAATGGACCCGACGATGCATCCCTAGCATGACAGACGCAATCATCTTGCATGCTGCGCATCACAAATTTACACTAACAACGTTTTTTTTTGGATAAAAGATCCTCCTGACACAGGCACGGTGAAGATCCTGGCGTGCCAAGAGCCCTGTCAGGACGAGATGCGGATCTTTTACACTTTGCCGGACCTTTATCGCAAGAAAAAACTGTTTCACATTGATGATTTTGCAAGATCTGCATCACAAGTTTGTTACACATGACAAAGAAAACTTGGCATGCGTGCTTCCCAAGGGAAAACGCAGCTAAAAATCCAATGTCTTGCATGTGTAGCAAGACAAACACAGTTGCGTTCCGTTCTATGCATCACAAGCTTACAGTGAAACAGTTTCTTCTCACGATAACCTTGTGGTCGGGGGGAATAAATCTTCTGCGGCTTTATCTTCCACTGTAAGTAATGCAGAAAATAAAGATGTTAACACCGACGACACGACGTCCCCTCGGGGAACGGAGGGAACACTCGAAACCGAACCTGCCAGCAGCGGAAATACGAGACTTGTACCTCCGCGAAAGAATTTGTACAATCCCTATGACGCTATCAACATCGATGCGAAAGCGGCCAGGTCGGTGCACACGATTCGCGACGAGTCCGGGCGTATGCTCTGCAAAAGTATCGCATATAAATCGCAGTCATGCAAGACAAATACTTCTTCCAAGGTTCGTCAGCATCACAAATTATACGTTTTGTTGTCTCGCCAAAATTTGTGATGCGATTTCTACCAGTGCGATACCTTTGCAATGCATAGGGAGCGTTCTGTCGAAGTACAACAATGCGGGTGCGAAGACGGCGAGTCGGCGCAAGGCAAAAACGGTGGAGGAGTACAAAAAACTCCGGCTCCAGGTGGAGGAGTACGTGTGGCTTCTGGACGAAGCTATTGTGAAGAAAAATTTCCCCTCCCCATACTGAAAATAAGGTATGCTTCTCAAATAAATTTGTGATGCTGATTTGTGACCACAAATCCTGTCTCTCTTGCAAGAGGGCAAAGCCAAAGAATCCGCCGCATTATGCAGGCGGTTTGCAATGCTGTTGCGGCTACATGGCAGGCCTCTGCTATGCTAAGCACCTACACCAAAATACTCCTAGGCAGGCCTAGGCTCTGCCTGCAGTGCCTCACTGCAAGACAGAGCTGATTTGTGTACACAAATCCAGCAACAGAAAACCCCGCTTCAATACGAGGAGGGGGAATTTTTCACTTTGATAGAAGCGATGGGCGATTTTGACAAGGAAAAGGAGTGTCTGGAGGGCATGGAGGGCCTGTTCGGCGACGATGCACTTGGCGAAGTAGAGCAGAATGGAGATAGTGCCGCACGGGACATAAGAAATCCAAATCTCACAGTTCTTTACGATCAGGTTCGGCACGGATCCCGGGCCAACATGCTGGAGCAGTTCTACCTCCTCCTCGCCTACAGCTCCTTTAAGGACATCTCTATTGTAGCGAAAAAAAGGCACGTGCAGCTGTTGCAGCACTACTATAAAGACACGAACGGCATACCCCCCGAGAACTCCTCCAGTCCCAGCCGGGACATTCAGTTCTGAAAGTGGTTGAAGTGAAAAAATGAAAATCCTAGAGGTTTATTTCCCGAAGCGCGCGCCGGCCATCGGGTGGGATAGTACTTAGTGCTTTCTGGTTCAGACTGTGGTGATGTTGTTCTGAGCGGACTTGCTAGAGAAAGACATCGTGGTTTTGGTCAGTTGTACCGCCGCAGCGCCATTGAGAACTACGGTCCCGGGAACTGATAAACAGCTTACCAAATGTGATGTTTTCTCGATTATGTTTTTAGGTCACGAATGCAAGAGGAAAAATGTTGACCAGGAGGATTTTTTCGAAACAAGTATTAACTTGTTTTCACCGAGAAGAAGTCGTGTTGCGCACTAGAGGACGCTGCGTTTACTTCTCTGCGGTCGTGTTCGTCAGAAGTGCGGAACTGGCGGGAGTGCTCGTGCTGCACCATCAGAAGTGCGGAACTTGCGCGCCCGGGCGTACCATCTTCAAATCAAAAAAATCGTGTGCTTGTCTGTATGGATGGATTTTTGTCTTAGGTTGGTTCATGTATTCTTCCCGCGCTGTGTATAGGTAAATTCGCCCGTATGGGTCCCGTCTCGGCGGACGCAAAAGAATCTCATTGAACAATCACAACATGTTTGATCGTCATAAAATAGTTTCATCCTGATGTCCCGGAAGATCACCTGTTAGAATCGTCCCCCAAAAGGTTCGACCTGCTTACCAGCGGGAAAGCTATCTGCTTCTCCTGCAACGACTCCAACATCTGCACCAGCTTGTCGTGCTGCAGTTGCGGTTGTTGTTGCCCTCCTGCGCACCCCTGTTGTAGTTGCCCTCCTTGTCCATGTTGCATCTGCTGCGCAAAGCATGGCGACGGCTGCAGCTGTTGTGTCTGGGGACCGGGAGCCATTGGTGTGGGCTGGGTATTCCACATGTTCGTGCCGGGAGGCTGCGTCCCAAATTGTTGTTGGTAGGGCTGTGCGAAGAGGTGGTCCTGCAAGCTGGCTGGGGGGGAGGCAAGCGGAGGCGGCAGTTGTTGTTGGTTGATAATGGGTGCGGACTGGAGCTGATTCCAATTTTGCGGCGGGGGCGGAGGAGAGGGCTGTAGACCTTGCTGTGGGACGCCCGGCGACATACCTAATTGTCCTCCGATACCAACGCCACCACCCTGTTGTTGTGGTAGTTGTGTCCCACCTTGCTGCTGCTGCCATTGGCCGACTACACCACCAGGTACCTGCTCCAGCGGCTGCGGAGCGAAACATTGTTGTTGTGGCAGAGAACCAAAAGGCTGTCCCGGATGCTGCAGCTGCTGGTTCTGTTGGGGCTGGAGGCTTTGGTTGGGTGGGTATGTGTTAGGTGGCCCCGGCTGGTTGTAGGTTGGAGGTTGTTGCCCTACTTGTCCCTTCCCAGCTCCCGGAGGCCCGGTCGGCCACTGTTGGAAGTGGGGTTTTCCTCCTCCTTTCACATACATCTCGTTCCACCTCCCAATGTCTACTCCATTGCGTGAAGGATCTGCGCTCGGTCCGGGGGCCAGCCCAAGGCCACAGCCTCTGGTCGAGAAGATTCACAGGAGGAAACGAGGACCACGCTTTTCATTCTTTTCTACTGCTGCTTAGGATGAAAAAAGACTAATTAGCAGCTTCCTATCTACGCTCTTACGCTCTCTCTCAAAAAAAGCCCAAAACGATGGGCCCCACACGATGTGGGGACGGCAATTTTCAGCCATCATATATGTAAAACGAACCACAGTTTCTGATCGTCATAAAAATATTTTCATCCTGATGTCCCTGATGCTGATCACCTGTTAGAATCAAATTGTGACGCACGAGCCACGTTGTCATGCCGGAAAGGAAAAGATGGAAAAACAGCATGACAAAGTGCCTGCAAACAACGCAACAAATGCGCTTGTTGCTTTTCTAGCTTGTTCCGTATCCAAATCCAGCATCACATATTTTCTGCCTGATGTGGGGGTGGGGTGGTGGGGTTTTTGCGCACAATAAAGACAGTAACTCTTCACATCTTCCGTGTAGGCGCAGCTCTCTAAGTAAGGCACGCCGCAATCACATTCGAGCCAGCGGATTGTGCCCATGTACTTGTTGTGTAGCTCCTGCCCCCGTCGTAGCGGTTGCGGTACATTTACACGGGCTGGCTTGCCCCCGTTCTCAAAGCCGTGGCTCCTTTTCCCTTTTTTGCCTCCTCCTTTGCCTCCGCCTTTCCCCCTAACTCGTTTCGCATTGATGTTTGGTAGTGAGAAGCCCGGAGGTGCAGTTGACGCGCTGGCATTTTCATGCGCGGTAGGAAGAGAAAAAGTATTGTTGCTGGCGCTATTAGAAACGGGTGGGCGAGAAGTGCTGGAAGAAGAGCCTCCGATCTGTTCATTGGGAAATATCCGCACTTCGGGCACCGCCGGTGGGCGAGAGGTGCTTGAAGAAGATCCCTTGCTCTACCGATTGAAATTTGTGCCGCCCTTGCTCACCCGCAGAAACAAGACCGAAACATTTTTCCGCTTGAAGCCTGGCCGCGTTTGCTATCAGGGGTCTCCCCTGTGTCACTCGTACAAACAATACCGACTCTCATCTTTATTACCCTTTTTCACCAGTGTACACAGTTCATGGTCTCCCTACCCCGGTACCTGCATGCATCAGCCGGGAACCGACACGCCGCCAAAAAACGAAAGCCTCGAAGAGACTTCGAGATCCGAAAGCAGTGTCGCGGCTGTTTGCAATGTTGCGGCGTTGCAACATTCCCAGGGACCGCCCGCGTGGAGGACGCGCATGCAGGATTTTTGGTCCCCACAGTGCCACAGCGAAGTTTGCTGAGGCACTTTCTAAACCTAGAGTGTTGGGGTTGCGGTTTTGCAGCTTTGCTTTTTAACAGAGCTTCGCTCTTAAGACACCTTCTTAAGAGGTACCGCCTAAGCAATTTCTCTTAGAAAAATTTTCTAAGAGCCCTCCTATAGATTATATATATAGGCCACCGATGACTCATTTCTGAATAGTTATTATTATTTTCATCCTGATGTCCCGGAAGATCACCTGTTAGAATCAAATTCGTGAATTGTTCGTGTTAGGAGAAGTGCAGTCTGCTCCACGGGAAATGAATACCGAAAGAACCTCGTCCCATTTCGTTGATGCACTTGTTCGCAAAAGATAAAGAAGTCGTGGAATAATTCATCGTTGGTTGTCAGTCGTCGCGCTTATAATGTGGGTAAGTAATTCTAATTTTCTGTGGCTTTTATTTCGGTCGTGATGTCTACTTTTGTCTTATATCAATTGAAGGCCACGGAAGCGTATGCTACAACGTGTGTCTAGCACGTACAAATCAAACAATGTGCTGTAAGAAAGCTCTCGGCCGCTCTTCTGTCTAGTTTCTCGTCGTGCTAGTTTATGCCAGTAAAGAATTTCTTGCAAGAGCTTCCTTAATTATATCTAGGCACGTGTTGAACGTTTTAGATTTTTTTCGCAGAAGGGCGTCTTGAGCTTATTGTGTTCTATTGGAAAAACTCAAAAATGTTGACCCAGCAAAGGCAGCGCGCTTTCGGGGCGCACAACTTCCGGCGACCCGCTTTCCCATTTATTTCTAGCCCGTTTGTAGTGCTGCTCCACCTTCTTTTCCCGCTGTTTTTCACGACTGGAACGCAACAGGCGTCTGCCGCTTCCGGGAACAAGAAGTTAAAACTGTCCAAGAAAGACGGCGGGTCTGTTGTTCAGACGGACATCAAAGGCAAGCAAGAGACAGCGACGGTGGCGGTGAAGACGGCTTTGTTGGCTCGCGCGCGCGGAGGTATTTCGATTGTGCCGAGAGTTTCGGACGGGCGGCTACAACGGGGCGCCGAGCGGGATGAATAGCAAGGCTATCTCGTTCCCCTCCGGCGGGGCAGTCGGGTTTTCCTTCGACTACGAGTACAGCATGATGTACGGCATTGCCCTGGCGAAAACCTTCGCGCACCATGGCAGCCATTATGAGAGTGCACAACTACTCCCCCTCGCGCTCATCTCTCATGCAAAATCTCAACTCCAATCGCTCCCCTGCGTCAATTCTATTTATGCATGACAGATTCGTCCGGGAGCTCAAACAGTACTGCTCTAGGTGCATCAATTTAATGTCATGCACAGGCTCCACTTGTGGTGAGGTGGTGTTTGTATTGCTGTTCCTGCAATTACTTACACGAATGAAAGGTTAGGCTTAGGGGGGGGTTGTGTAGTCTCATAGCCACGTCATTCTCGGGCCCGGCGTACAGCTGCACCACCACCCGCGGAACGGGCGTAATTTCGAGTACCTCGGCTGCGAGGACCCGGTCGTGGGTGCGTGGCACGCGGACGCGGTGGTGCGGGGCATCACCAGTCAGGCCCAGCTGTCCACGCTTAAGCATTACGACAACAACGACTGGGAGCGGGGGCGCAACACCGGCGCCTCCAACGCCGTCGTGCCCATGGAGGCCAGTATGGAGCTGTACGTCAAGCCCTTCGTGGCCGGGCTCGCGGGCGGCAGCCAGGCCGTCATGTGTGGGTACAACGAGGCCGACGGCATCACCATGTGCGGGCACACGAAGCGGCTGGGCTGGCTCAATGATTTGACCAGGAGGATGTTCTATCAAATGCAAATATGTCTGGGTCTGGGAGATCGCGAGATTACTATTGAAACTGCAGCAACTAGCCAAAATTGGCATTCCTACCCTGGTTCCAGGGTAGGTTCCAGGGTAGGTTCCGGGGTAGGTAACACGAGGGGACAGTGGATTTAAGAAGGGGGGGGTACAGCCTACCCAGGAACCGACCCAGGAACCGACTCAACCCGACTCCTCAACCGACCGATACAGCTCGGGGAAAAAAACAAACACGAGCTGTGGAGTCGGGTGAAGAGTCGGGCAAAAGTCGGGTCCAGGGTAGGTTTTGAGTCGGGTAAAGTCGGGCAAATAGCTCGGGAAAGGCAAAGTGACCTGACCCGACTCTACCCGACTCCAGCCGATGCGATATCCTTGGCCGATAGGTCTGGGTCTGGACGAGCCCAGGTCTGTCATGCATATTTGGCCTGATCCACTATGATGCAGGCTACTTTGTCACGCATATTGTGCGTGGTCCACTTTTTTATGCATATTTTGCGTGATCCACTTTGTCCCGCGTATTTTGCATGAGCCCAATTTTGTTCGTCATGCATATTTTGCATGAGCCGCCACAAATTAAAGCTGGACGCTTCCAGACCCACACATATCGAAGCAGCTGATCACCAAATGCAAAGGCGGCGACAAAACGCAAAACACTGGGCGCAGCAAGGCGGCGCCCGGTTTCTCGCGGGGATTGGCATGGGGACACGAAGGAAGCAAAACCACGCAAAAAAGCTGCGCGGCCGGCTTTTCGGACGGAAGCAAGCGAAGCCGGCGCTCATTTTTCCACGCTTTTCCGCATGGGGGCACGAAACAAAACCGCGCCAGAAAGCTTTGCCGCTGGCTTTCATTCCAGCAGCTAGCGAAGCCGGCGCCGGGTTTTTGCCGCTTTCCCGCATGTGGGCACGGAGCAAAACCACGCCGAAAAGCCTCGCGCCTGTCTTTTTGAAAGCAAGCGAACCCGGCGCCCATTTTTTCACGCTTTTCCGCATGGGAGCACGGAGCAAAACCGCGCCGGAAAGCTTTGCCGCTGGCCTTCTGGCAGCTAGCGAATGAAGCCGGCGCCAGGTTCTTGCCGCTTTCCCGCATGGGGGCACGGAGCAAAGCCACGCCAAAAAGCTTCGCGCGTGGCTTTTTGGAAGCAAGCGAAGCCGACGCCCATGCTTTGGCGCTTTTCCGCATGGGGCACCAGAAGCGGAAAGCTTTGTGGCTGGCTTTCTACCAGCTAGCGAAGCCGCCGCCAGAGTTTTGCCGCCTTCCCGCATTGGGGCACGGAGCAAAACCATACCACAAAGCGCCGCGGCTGGCTTTTTGGATGAGCGAAGCAAGCGAAGCCAGCGCCCATTTTGCCACGCTTTGCCGCATGGGGCCACGGAGCAAAGCCGCGCCAAAAAGCTTGGGGCCTCGCTCCCGGCTGGCTTTGTGAAAACAAGCGAAGCCGGCGCCCATTTTTTGGCGCTTTCCGCATGGGGGAACGGAGACAAACCGCGCCGAGAAGCTTTGCGCTTAGCTTTCTAGCAACTGGCGAAACCGGCGCCAGGCTTTTACAACTTTCCCGCATGGGGGCACGGGGCAAAACCACGCCAAAAGGCTTCGCGGCCGGTTTTTGGTAGCAAGCGAAGCCGGCGCCCATTTTTTCACGCTTTACCGCATGGGGGCGCGGGGCATAACCGCGCAAAAAAGCGCTGCGGTTGGCTTTCTAGCAGCTAGCGAAGCCGGCGCCAGGTTTTTGCCGTTGTCCCGCATGGGGGCACGGGGCAAAACCACGCCAAAAAGCTTCCCGGCTGGCTTTTTGAAAGCAAGCGAAGCCGGCGCCCATTTTTTGGCGCTTTTCCGCATAGGGGCACGGAACAAAACCGCGCCGCGCGGCCTTGCGGTCGGCCTTCTAGCAGCTAGCGAAAACGGCGCCAGGTTTTTGCCACTTTCCTGCATGGGGGCACGGAGCGGAACACCGCCAAAAAGCGTCGCGGCGGGCTGGCTTTTTGGAAGCAAGCGGAGCCGGCGTCTATCTTTTCCCGCCCTTTGTTTTCCGCATGGGGGACTTTATTTTTATAAACAGCCTTTTGCCGCTTTGTTTTCCGGGGCACGGGGCAAAGCCGCGCGAGAAAGCTGTGCGGTTGGCTTTTCAGCAGCTAGCGAAACCGGCGCCAGGTTTTTGCCGGTTTCCCGCATGGGAGCACGGAGCAAAACCACGCCGAAAAGCCTCCCGGTTCAGTTTGTGGAAGCAGGCGAAGCCTGCCGACGCCCATTTTTTGGCGCTTTTCCGCATGGGTGCAGGGAGAAAAACCGCGCCGAAAAGCTTTGCGGGTGGCTTTCTAGCAGCTAGCGAAACCGGCGCCAGGTTTTTGCCGCTTCCTTTCCCGCATGGGGGCACGGAGCAAAACCACGCCGAAAGGCCTCGCGGCTGGCTTCTTGGAAGCAAGCGAAGCCGGCGCCCATTTTTTTACGCTTTGCGGCATGGGGGCATATCAATGGACAGAATACAAAAACCTGCGTATGCTTTCTAGCTGTACTTCTAGAAACTTCTAGAAGTAGAAGGCGTCGCTGCACCTTCTCAGGGCCGCCGCGCCCTTAGCCGAGCAGCGACTTTCGGATATTTTCCAGGTGCAAAACCTTCTGCACCAACGCCAGTGCCCAAGGCGCTAACAAACACTGGACGGCGTTTGCCGCGCTGGCCGTCTCCAATGATCCCCCTGGGGCCAAGGGGGCCAGGTGTCCGATTGGGCACTAAGAAAAGGCGGCAAGTGGTAAGCTGATCCAGAATCCTTCTAGGAAATGCTCCAAATTTTTCAATTTTCTGGCCTTTTTCTAGCAAAGTGGTGCAATTTCCTAGAAAAGCCAAGAGCTTCCGGAGATTTCGCCACGTGTCTAGAATGATTCTAGACGATGAACCTGGCAGCAGTAAGAGCGGTCGCGAGATAGGTAAGTCCGGCAGAGGGCCGAGTCAACCGCCAGAGCTTCGACTGCTGGCTCTATGCCATCCCCTTCCCCTTCTAGGCGTAAGGCGTGGATCATGTGCAAAATTTTGCCGCTTTTCTGCGTACCGGTGGGGTATAGTGTCGCGTTGGGTCTACTGCTAAAAGTATGGGCTGGCGGCTCTACTTCTAGAAGTATCTAGAAGTAGAGCCAGAAAGCATGCGCAGGCTTTTGTATTCTGTCCGTTCATATGGGGGCACGCAGCAAAACCGCGCAAGACAGCAGGCCGGCCTTCATCTAGCAGCTAGCGAAACCGGCGCCAGGCTTTTGCCGCTTCCCATATTTCATTGGGCGCAGGCGGTGCCCGGAATTCTCGCGCAAGCCGGCATGTGGACACAGAGCAAAGCCGCGGCCAGAGGGTTCCCTCCCGGAGTAAATCCACCGGGCGAAGGCGGTGGCCGGTTTGTTTCTCGCGCAAATTGACACGGGGGCACGAAGCAAAGCCGGGGCCGAAAGCTTTCCAGAATGAAAAGGGCGAAGGCGGCGCCCGGTTAGTAAGTTCCTCGCGCAAAATGGCATGGGGGCACGGAGCAAAACCGCGGCCGGAAGCTCCCCAGAATACATTGGGCGAAGGTGGCTGGTGCCCGGTTTCTCGCGCAGACTGGCATGGGGCCATGGAGCAAAACCATGGCCAGAAGCTTCCCGGAGTACATACAAAAGGGCGAAGGCGGTGCCCGGTTTCTCGCGCAAGCTGGCACGTGGACACGGAGCAAAACCGCGGCCAGAAGCTTCCCCCAGTCTGTCAATTGGGCGAAGCAAGGCGCTGCCCGGTCGGTGGGGTCTCGCGCGGGAAAGGGCACGGAGACATGAAGCAAAATCGTGGCCCGAAGCATCGCAGAATCAACTGGGCGCGCGAAGGCGGTGCCCGGTTTCTCGCGCAAACTGGCACGGGGACACGGAGCAAAACCACGGCCAGAACCGCTTCCGCCGCACTGGCACACGGAGCAAAACCGCTGCCCCCCCGGAATTGGGCGACCGAGGGCTTTGCCCGGGTTTTTGCGCAAACTGGCACGGGGACACGGAGCAAAGCCGCGGCCAGAACCCTTCTCCGCCGCACTGGCACACGGAGCAAAACCGCTGCCCCCCAGAATTGGGCGAGGGCGGCGCCCGGTTTCTCGCGCAAACTGGCACGGGGACACGGAGCAAAGCCGCGGCCAGAACCGCTTCCGCCGCGCTGGCACATGGAGCGAGCAAAGCCGCTCCCCCCCCAGAATTGGGCGAGGGCGGTGCCCGGTTTCTCGCGCAAACTGGCACGGGGACACGGAGCAAAGCCGCGGCCAGA